TTTGTTGATGCGGCAGGAAAGATGGTTGGGGGGAGGGGGGGGGGGGGGGGAAGTAATGTATCAAAACCATTTAACTAATTAAATAGGCCACTGCTGATTGTGTCTAATCAGGGGAAGCCCTGGCATCTTGCAGTGTGCTTGCTCAAGAGTTTCATTTCAGTTACACAAAACTGAGATGAGAGAAACTATCTGAATCCACCGAGGTAAGTGTAGGCAGAAAGGGAGAAACAGCATCTATGTGGATCTTAAGAGCTTTAGATTGGAAGTGTGGCCCTCGAAGACTACAGCACCCACCATGCCCTGCTGTATTTCAATAATCTCAATCAGGAAAGTGCTCTGGCTTCACCAAGCAGTGGCATTGCCAGCATCAATTTTAGTAAAGAGGAAGGTGGTTGTGGGCAATCTGTACGCCATGCTTGGAACAGAGGCTTCAGCTGGGCTCCCCCTGAATTAAATTTTGGCAAAGAAACCAATGTGTGAAATGAGTGAGGGTGATGATGGGGTGTTGGATGTGTTCCAGTGATCCCTGCCTGGCAACGGACTGCAAGTACGCCAACAAATTCCACTTCCACTGTCTCTTTGGGAACTGCAAGTATGTGTGCAAAACCTCGGGCAAAGCAGAATCCCACTGCCTGGACCACATCAACCCCAACAATAATCTGGTGAATGTGCGAGACCAGTTTGCTTACTATTCACTGCAGTGTCTCTGTCCAAACCAGGTAAGAGCAGTTCAAAAGCAATGTTCCACCCTGAAGTATGTGTGTGGGAGAAGAATGAGACAGAGCAAGCAGACTGCCCAACAGGAAGTGAGGTGGAGCGTCTCATTTCTGATCTAATTCCAGAACCATAGAAGGGTCTAGCAAAATGTTTGGTTTCCATCAAACTGCAAGTGCTTGGATGTTTCCTTGGCTTGGGTGAATTGGACAAGGCAACTAGAATGATCTGAGAGACACAGAATGAAATAGAATAAAAATCTATGATGAATACCAGGAAAGGCCACGAGTTAGGGTTGGGATATCTCAGTGTAGAGTAGTGCAATACAGAATGCATGATGGCAATACAAAATACATGACAGGGAACACGGTTGCATTGCAGCTTGTGGAAGATAACCTGGATGTGATCTAGAGTATCAGTTCAGGGCGCTCTCAAGTCTCAGAGGGACAGCATCAGTAGCAGCAGATGGGAGTGCATTTGGTTCAGATGTGCTTAAAGCGGCCTGTCTGTTTTCTTCTCTCCAGCACTGTGAATTCAGGATGCGAGGGCATTACCACTGTCTTCGTCCTGGCTGCTACTTTGTGACTAACATCACCACCAAGCTGCCCTGGCACGTGAAAAAACATGAGAAGGCAGAGAGAAGGGCAGCCAACGGCTTCAAGTATTTCACCAAGCGAGAAGAGTGTGGCAGACTAGGTGAGTTGTCTTCTCTTCCCCCGTCACCTTTCTCATGTGGGCTGTCCCATGTCCTGCCTAAGAACACTGCGAGTTAGAGCCTGCAAGTTATGCTTAAGGTGTATTTGGTCATTAAATCACTAACTGAGAGAGAGAATGAAACAGAAAGCAGTTCCCAGTCTGCCTGAGCTGAAGCATGTTTTCCCAAATAGACCCAAGTTAAATGCATAGAAATGGTAATATAGAAGATAATATGTATATATATCTGTCTGAGATACAGCTTCCTTTTAGTTTTTTCCTTTATAGCTCATTGTCAAGGCCTTTTTGTTTGATTGGGGTTGTTTTTTTGCACTTTGTAGTCTTTTGGGCCTAACACTTGTGTTGGGTGGAGTTTAAGAGTGCTCTTAAAAGTGAAAAAAGGCATAAGGGAAACGCTTGTTCTGATGAGCGCCTTGTGTGAAAGTCTCCCTGCATCAAGAAGGCGGCTGCTGTGCCTGATTCCAGACAGCTCCAAATGAAAATTTACTTTTTTTATTAGCCATTGCCAGGGCAGCTCATTGAAAGCCAAAGGGCAAATAACCAGAGACAGAGATATGGAGAAGAGCATTCCATAAACTACACCCTTCTCTGAAGCCGTTCTCCACAGCCAGTTGTGAGCAGCAGGGAATGCAGTGCTGTGTCTGTGCCAGCCTCCCACCACAGCATGGCCTAAGGAAACACCGGAGATGTGGCACAGCCTCACACTGTGGCTTACCCACTTGCCAGCACTATTAGCAGCAGGGCAGTAGTTATCAAATCCAAGTGCCTCTAGTGTAAAGCTGGTCAAACACACACACAACAACAGACAGTAGAATGCATTCCCAGGGAGGCAGCTAGAGCTGGAACCCAGGGCTCTGAACTGGGGGGAATCCCTGAAGAGAGCTCCTGCAGAGCTCTGTCCTGAACTGCTGGGGTTCACTTAACCCTTCAAGTTGTGTTTTGGCTTTAGAGTATCACAGACCCAGTCTTCCCTATTGCTCCTGTTGGAGCTGAGGCTGGAACAAAACAAGGTTCACAATAACACTTCTGGGTGCTGTTCTCTTACACTGCAGGGAAACAGCCAGAACCAAACTTTTATTTTCAGCTTTGAATACATCAAGAATTTGTACCCAAATGGCAGTTTGTTTGTGGTAACCAGGGTACTGAGTGTCAACATGCTGCGGCCAGTACTTAGTCTCATTTGCACATGTCAGTAGATTCAGCAGTTGCTGTTATTTACTCAACTTTAGGTGTTTCAGGTGATAGCAAGAGCTAGACAAAGCAGGACAATGATACATGACACCCAGCCTACACGGGTGCCCTGGCAACAGGCGAGCCTTCACCTGCCCTTTGCTGATAGTGTTTCAGTCCTGCCAGCACTGTTTGTTCTCCATCCCAGAGAACAGCACAATGGGATGGGGAGGGCGAATGAGGTGGGGCTGTGGGGGAGTGCAATACCTAAACAAACATAAACTTGGCATGTGCCTAAAACACTGTGAGCTAAAGATGGGCTGGGTGGTTGGGTGATCCGGGAGCTGCTTGGCTGTGCATGTATCAGCAGTGTTTAGTTTGGGGAGTGACGGGGTACATGCATCCAGCAGTGTGAACATCTGCCCATAGGTTGGGTTGCCATGCCAGAAACGTGTTTAGCCAGCACGCTGCCTTTGCCTGTGTAGGTACAGGCAGCACAATGGGATGGTGTAGCTGGATGTGTTTGTGTAGGTCTAGATGGTTATATCAACATGTAAATGCATGTCTGCTTCTCTGTACATCTCTAGGCTTCTTATGTGTGTCTGTGTGTATATATATATATATATACACACACACATGTATCAGGTGCAGAAAGCACTGGCCTGTTTAAGGGCTGCGAATGTTTCTGAACAAACACATGTAATAGATTTTTCTTTAATATGTGTGTTCATGCGTGTATAAATATCTACACACATGTATGGATGGAGAGGGAGAACCAGAGAAAGAAAAATACCTACATGTGTAAGTACAGGGGGATGGGTGTAGCTACATGACTGATGGGTATAGCTACAAGACTGAGCCTGTCTGTAGGTCTGTACAGGTCTGTAAGGGTATGGCCAAGGGATGATGGAGAACAGGCAGAACTTGATTATTGATAGTGCTGTGTTTAACTGTAAGAAGCCATTATTTGTCAGCTATAGAATGTGGCTGTTGAGGATTGTCCGTTAATGAGATACACAGTCTCCCAGCGTGCATGGCACTATCCACGAGGCACAAAACGTGTCAAGTGCTGGATGCCAGAACCCATAGAAATTGCTTGTTGCTGAGTAGCTGCCCCTATTACACAACGAATTTGGAGTGGCAATAAACACTTCTTGGCTCGTTTCTATCTGACCAGAGAGCAT